CTTTTAATTTTTTTTTAATGTTTATTTTTGAGAGAGAGAAAGAGAGTGCATGTGTGTGCACAAGCAGGGGAGAGGCAGAGAGAAGGGGATGGAGGATCCAAAGCAGGCTCTGTGCTGACAGCAGTGAGCCCAATATGGGGCTCGAACTAGCAAACTGTGAGATCATGACTTGAGCCAAAGCCGGAAGCTCAACCAACTCAGCCACCCAGGTGCCCCAAAGCTGACCTTTTAGATGTAACATCAGTGACAAAGAGGATGATTTCCTTTGCACCCAAAACCTGACCACAGAAGACAGGCCAACAGCGATCTCTGAAAGTACGGCTCTTCTCCTGTGCAAACAGCACCTTATCTGAAGGCCCAATGGCTGACTAACTAATGGGTTATTTGGAGCTTTAAAGATCTTCGAGGAGTCTGAGGCCTCCTGTAGGTTAGCTTCCAAAAGACAATCACATCAGTAAGCAGTGTAAGGCTTCATTCAGACAATGGTAAACTCATGAAAGGCAGGAACCAGTTTTCATACTTCAACAGATACTATTATGGCCTATGGGATTTAGCATGAGAGATGCAGGAGGTGCAGAGAAAATGGGTATGGCTTCTCCCTTCATGGAACATGTAGTAATCTAGTAGGGCATTTACGTAAGTAAAAAAGCACAATATGGCATGATAGATTCTTTCATAAGGGAATACCAGATACTATGAAAGCACATAGAAAGAACAGCTTGTTCAAATTTGGGCATTAGAATCTTCCCTGTGAAAGTGATGTTTAAGTTGTGAAGACTACTGAGTTTAGCCAGATTGGGATATTTCAGAAGAAGAACGTGTGTAAAGGCCCAGAAGCAAGTGAGAACTGAGCACATCTGAGGGCAGTGACAAAAGTTAAATATGGCCAAGTGTGTATGTGTACGTATTCTGGGGGGAAGGCGGAGCTCTCAAGAATGAGCAAAGATAAGCTAGAGAGAAGGAGGGGCCAGATCACAAGATACATTAAAGAAAGACCATATCCTGGGATATGCACCAAAATATTCAAAGACAGTTTTCCTTGGGAAGTGAGAATGGGGAGAAGTGGGAAGACTTCAAGTTAGCATCTTAAATACTCCCATAATGCTAGGCATTTATTTTTTAGAGCGCCATGCATTCCTTCTGTAATTTAAATTTGTAATGAAACAAAACAAAGGTTTTATTTATTTTTATTTTAGAGCTAGTGAGAGCACACACAGGAGGGAGAGGGGCAGAGAGGAAGAGAGAAGGAGGGAGAGACAGAGAATCAAGCAGGCTCCATGCTTAGAATGGAGCTGGACACAGGGCTCGAACCCAAGACTCTGGGATCATGACCTGAGCAGAGATCAAAAGTTGGACACTCAACCAACTGAGACACCCAGGTGTCTTGAAACAAAGAAAGTTTCCAAAGCTGAGTCTAACTGCACTGGGGGGAATGGGTTGGAAGCAGGACAAGACTAGAGAAGGCAGAGCTGCTGGAAAGCGGTGGCAAGAATCAGGTGGCCTGAACTGGAGCCTCAGCAGTGACTGTGGGAAGAAGATAGAATTAGAAAGTAGAATAGAAAGATCTTGGTAAAGAATAAAGGAAACAACTAGATTTCTGACATGGGCAAAGGGATGGATGGTGAATGGTGGGGTCTTTCATTCAATTTGGGAAAACAGGGCATGACACAGGTTTGGATAGGGTAAAAACAAGTTTAGATTTCATCATATTAAGCTTGAAGTACCTAGAGGACATTCACATGGAGTTCAAGTTTGTAGAGATCCTGAACCTATAACCCTGAAGGAAAAAATCTGACTTACAAAAAGAAATGTGGCTACTCTCAGCATATATATGGTAACTTAAGTCCTGAGACAAGGTAGGATTGCCCAGGTACATGTAAAAAGAAGGCTGGAACTGAAGCTGGAAGTAGAGCAATATATAAAGCTGAATTTCTCAGAATTATCTGTGACCCATATGTATCATGATCTCCTGAGGACTTTCGTAAAAATGTAGAATTCTGGGCTCTGCCACCAACCTACTGATTCAGATACTTTAGTGGCCTAGGAATCTGTATTTTAAGCAAGTATCCCAGATTATTTTTGAGAACCACTGATCTAGAAGATGAGTGGAGGAAGAAGAGGCAGAGAAAAGAGAAAGAAAAAAAAAAAGGTTTAAGAAAGAGCTGTGCTCTGCTCACCCCGATGAATAATGAGAATTTCATGTCACAGTAGCCATGGGAAAACAGCATATGCATCAAAGCACAGTGGGCTGGTGAAAAATAAGCAATTAGTAAATACTTGTTTAATAAATAATTGGGGGAAATATTTAAAGTTATAATTTACCTGTGTATAATTATAAGCTACTAAGTATAGTATAAGAATTTATAAGAAATTGAGAAATTTCTTATAAACTGGGAAATATAAGAAATTGGGAAATATATAGTCCCAGAAACTGGGAATTTATAAGAAAAAAGAATAGTGGGAAGTGGAAAAAAAAAACGAAGTGCGAATCACTTTGATGTCAACGTCCAGGACAAATTGCAAAGGTTTAGCAGGTATCTAGCAAGTTAGTGAATAAACAACCATGACCTCTCAGATCCAAGTAAATTCCTGAAGTATATAAACACAGAAGCAACGCTTTATGACAAAAAGATGGGCTCAGTTTCGAAAAGCACTGAAATAAACCTGTCAGCTTCATAGTATCATCCAGATGTCCTCTCCCAGATTAACCAATTACTTAATACCCAAATCAAACCACTCCTTCACTTATAAGCTATTAAAGACCAAGAGATACAGATTTCGCCTGTCCAACTAAACCTGACAGCTCTTGCTCAGGTCATAGCTGATGAAATATTATTGCTTATCTAACACTTCTTATGCCAAAGTTGCTAAGCTCCAGACTATCAGCTTTGTCAGAAACTTCCTTTGTTCTAAGCAGTTAAAAGGATCTGTACTCTAAAGACATTTGCTTGATAGAAGACAAAATGATGAAATAACACCCAAATTAAATCACACCTGTTTTTGACCCCTCCCTATCTACCCCCAATTTAAAGTCATCACAAAACATTCTGGAGAGGTAAAGCAAACCGGGAAAGACTTTTACTTCATTATTCCTGTTTTTCCTTTACTTTTCATTTGTAGGTTTTATGAGAGGAGGGAAAAGCACTTCAAACTTACTGAGTACAAAGGACTCATTTGCATGCTACTGCAGGTTTTTATTTACTGCTATCACTAAATGCCACTCATCAGTTGTGTGACTCTGGGTGATTTTTGCTCTGAGTTGTATCATATACCCTTCAGGAATTTTTTCCAAATCTAAAGTACTATGGTTCTAAGATTTGAGAAGGAAATTGTCAGCAGCTAAGAAATATTACACTGTTATGAGAGTTGATAACAATTATACTCTTTATTTACTTAAAGTTTTGGGCCTCCACTTAGGAAGAGAGAGAATACCAGAGGCCATGAACTCCAGTGGTAGAAGTACTTCCTTTTTTTTTTTTTTTTAAAGTAGGTTTCATGCCCAGCACGGAGACCAGCGTGGGGCTTAAACTCATGACTCTGAGATCAAGACCTGAGCTGAGGTCGAGTCGACTGAGACACGCGGGGGACATGGACCCTTTCCCCTCCCTCACCTATTTTTAGAAGTACATCTTCTTGATTCAATAAGTCTGAGACAAACTGGTAACATTTCAGGAGTTCATTTGTTAGCTGGTAATTCAGAACACGGAGCATTGGTTTTTCCACAGTAATGATGTTATACAATATGGTTAGGCCCTTTGGGCTAATTCACAAAACTTAATATAACCTTAAAGTGACTCTCCAGTTTTGATAAAAACAGAAAAATAAATATTGCCATACTAGTGATGAAGGAAATAAAAAAGAGAGGTACCTGGGTGGCTCAGTCAGTTAAGCATCCAACTTCTGCTCAGGTCATGATCTCACAGTTTGTGAGTTTGAGTCCATGTGGGGGTCTGTGCTGACAGCTCAGAGCCTAGAGCCTGCTTCACATTCTATGTCTCACTCTTTCTCTGCCCCTCCCCTGCTCATGCTCTCTTGCTCTCTCTCTCTCTCAAAAATAAACGTTAAGGGGCACCTGGGTGGCTTAGTCGGTTAAGCGTCCGACTTTCGCTTAGGTCATGATCTCACTGTTCGTGGGTTCGAGCCCCATGTCGGGCTCTGTGCTGACTGCCAGCTCAGAGTCTGAAGCCTGTTTCAGAGTCTGTGACTCCCTCTCTCTCTGACCCTTCCCTGCTCACACTGTCTCTCTCTCTCTCTCTCTCCTAGAAATAAAAAAAATAAAAATAAATAAATAAATAAACGTTAAAAAATAATTAAAAGGAGGAGCATCTGGGTGGTTCAGTTGGTTGAGCATCCAACTTCAGCTCAGGTCATGATTTCACGGTTTGTGGGTTCGAGCCCCACATTGGGCTCTGTGCTATGGAGCTCAGAGCTTGGAGCCTGCTTTGGATTCTGTGTCTCCCTCTCTGCCCCATGCCTGCTCATGCTCTGTCTCTCGCACTCAAAAATAAATAAATATTTTAAAAATAAAAAAAATAATTAAAAGGAAATGAGAAAGAAACAAATTTCTCTCAGAGCCTATTCTTCACAATGAAGTCAAAGGATCCATTGACCTGATTACTCTGTAGCTTCTCCAAGTAATGAGATTATAATAGCCCACTGCTAAAGCGCATGGACCCCAGGGACCGTTGCTTAAATAAAGCAAAGTTTTCAGGTACAGGAGACACAAGGGGATCAGAGGTATGCCAAAGCCCAAAGCTGGGAGAAAAGCATAAAGTTAAAGAGAAGAGGAGCACTTCTTCTTAACTGTCCGGGCTGCAGTGGGAAAGGAACTTAGAGTCTAGAACATTCTCTTTACGTCTCAGCTCCAGGATTCCCTGGACAACACTCCCGGTAGTTCAGTGGCAGCTCAGTAAACATGGAACCTAACAACATATAAGGTGTGCTTCCCAGCTGAGACAGGGACTGTGAAAAGCAACAATTCCCTAAGTTGCCATGCCGAGTGCTCAACACTTGCCATAAGTGACCACAGCTCTGACTAGGAGGGGGTGCCTGGAAGGATGGCTGTCTCCTTGCTCTGACTGAAGCTCCATTTCAACCTCCTTACAAGGCTAGGTCTTCCAACATATTTGTATGTTTACAAGTTTGTAGTCGTAACTTCTGGGTTAGAGCCTATCTTTATTTTGCTAAGGCTTGGATTAGAAAAACCAAACAACTGTTCTCTTCTCCTGGGAAGAACTGCTTACTGTACTTAAAACTTTATAGTGATGGGAAATATCCCTATGTAAGTCTATATTTTGGGCAATTCAGATTTTTAATTCATAAATACTTGTCCATGTTCACTATGGAAAATAATGACCTCTTCAACCTAATTTGCACAGGTTTAAATATCAGGCAAAGAGTTCCAAAAGGTACTTGCCCTGCTAATATTCTAAAATTGCCATTTCAGTTTACCCTTAGCTCTCTCCCTGATATTAGACCACTTTAAAACTAAAATCACACTTCTGCTCTCATGCAGATATTATAACCAAAAATAAGTAGCAAAGAATATGGTATGTCAGTTAGGACACTATATATATATAGTGCAAACCATCCTGCAAACCATATTCTTTGCATATATACACTATATATATATATATATATATATATATATAGTGTCCTAACTGACTATATATATATATATATATATAAAGCTTTTAATTAATTGCTGCTGAATGTATGAAGAAACCTGTAGTGTACCCAAATCCATATACTAAAGGGATCTTTCAGTTCTTTAATAAGCATATGCAAATGTGATAATTCACCACAATCTAAACTGAGTTTTGGATTCTGCCTGCATTCAAAATATTCCCAGGAAGGACAGCATGGGTAACATACCCAGCTATCAGAGTGGCACTCACAAGCTCACCGGGTGTTCAACTCTCTTACTTTACTTACAAGTGTTGCTTTTCCTTCAGATTAAATCCACCTTTCCTTCCCCAGCCTCTTCTTGTTCTGCAGAAGACACCAACTTTATGTCTTCTGGTATAAAATTTTGTGGCTGTCAGAACTTAACATTGTAAATGTTACGTAGCAAAGTATTGGAAAATTCACTGAAAAAGATAATTGTTAAAAGCTTGTAGTAAAGAAACCTTGCTTTCCTAACCTTAAGCCTAACTACCTACTTCAGGAGTGACTTGGCAGATTTCCAAAAGATTCTTCAAATTTCTCCCTTTCTGAGGGAAGTTACAGAAACCTCTACCTTTCCCCCACTAAAACATAAGTATCCAATGTGCAAAAAAGAAAAGAATTTGGGGGTTTGGGTTAAAAAAATTCAGGTTCTACTTTCACACTGCAATGTTCAGCAAATAATACATTTCTACCAGCTTTCACTTTTCAGATGGGCTACTTCCTAGGCTGAGAGGCAGGACACCAAAATGGGAAGGAGAAGTCAATGTCATAGTGTATAAATAGCTGTGGCCAAAAACAATATTGCAGAAGAGCCAATAGGAGATGGGCTCCCCAAATTGCAGCAAGAGTGACTTAATTCCATGTATCCCTTCGTGAGGGCCTCAGGGAAAACTATCATCAGGAAATAAAAGAGGGTAGGAGGAAGCAGCCAGGACTCACATAAAATTTCTGATCGTTTTTTAAAGACAAAAACTTGCAGCGCTTTCTAGAGTTCCTGAAATGCACACCTATTTTTAAAGCTCAAATGGTATGGCCATGAAAAGTACATTTCTTCTAATGTAAGTTGATACAGAGAAAACGACGACCCAATAAGAAGTTAGTCTTTTCTCAGATATACTAAAAATACTGAACAGTACCAACGCTGATTTTTACATTGTTTAACTCACTCATTATACGCGAGGTAAAATTTGTCAGCACAAGGCAAATCTAAACGAGAACCCCACTTCATACAAAAGTAAACCTTGCACCGTGTTCCTATCATCATTCATTACACACAATCGAAAGGTCCATAATTTCACACGATGACGGTTAATACACTTGAGATCAGGGAGCTGAACTGCATGGGGCACACAATTCACTTCCTAAATGTTTGCGGGACTTTTCCAGATTGCTCTCAAGTGTTGGAAGTCACTCAGTTTACCAAGATTCTGCAGCAGAGCACACGCACGTTACTCTTTAGGGATCGGCGGCATTCACAAAACGTAGGCAACCACAAAGTTATGTAAGAAAAGCAGTCTCTCCTCTGAGGAATTGGTTCGGACGGACACACAAGAATCCAGGAAATCGCATATTCTCCTTGCGGGGCTGGACTAGAGGAACTAGGTAAAGAAACAAAGTCCACTGGGAAACGAGGGCAGTTACAGCTGAAAAGAGGCAGGCAACGCCACCAGAGGCATCTCCAAGCATTCCTTCGGAAGCAAAGTGCATGCTGTCTCTACAGAGCCCCTGCTGCCCTGGGTAACGGTACAAGCTCCAACCACCTCGGCCTGACACGAATTCCAGCACTGCAAGAGGAGACTGGGGAAGGAAGCATTAGATGACCCACTGCCTAGGGGTGCCGAGGCTGTCACCGCCCTGGGACTCGCGCACAGCCCGGCGCCGCCACCTGCTTTCTACTTCTTCGGGGAGGGCTGGTGACGCGTGGTGGGCCCGAGAGGAACCAGAGGCAAGGATAATGAATCTGCGGTTTCTAAAGCCCAAGTACAACAAGATGTCCCCGGAGTCCGACCCCGCGCAGCCGGGCGACTCTTCCCACGCGGCACGCTGCCCCAGGGGTGGAAGGCGGAGAACTTGCAAGCGGCTGAGGCGAGGGCCACAGGACGAATGGGGAGGGGGCGACGCCGGGTCTCAGCATCGGGGTCGCTCGGACCCCAGCGCCGGGACCGTGGGAAGGTACGCTGGGGGCGGGGCCGCTTGGAGCCAAACAGCCAGGGGCCGGACCTGGGAATCCCCCGGGGCGAGGGCGGGCGCGGGCGGAGAGGGACGCTAATGGCCGCTACCTGCTGCTGGATCTTCCCGTCCTCCGTGACGACCCAGTGCGTGGTGGCGAAGGCCCCTCGAGCCGCCACACTCAGCAAGGCGGAAAGGCTGAGGAGCCAGCCTGGGCCGGAGCAAGACGGCAGCTCGCACCGGCCGCGGACCCCTACTGCCGCCGCCATCTTGCCCCCCCGGCCCGGCCGCTCGCACCGGAAGCGGAAGCGGGCCCCCGCCGCCCGCCATCTTGGGGAGGTCGGCGCTGGAGGAGGTGGAGCCCAGGGGGCGCTGCCCGCTGACGACCGGCTATTTCAGCCTCCGTTTGGGCGGCCCGAGCTGCCGGGTTTGGCTTCAGGTCGGAGACCGCTTTTTTGTTACTGTTTTCCTGTACGCGTTACGTGGGAACCAGAGGGAGATAAAAGTCGTGTTCTAGGTGGAGCCTAAGTCGAAATAAGAGGACTCGGAGTATACGGAGTGTGTGTGTGTGTGTGTGTGTGTGTGTGTGTGTGTGTATAGTCTTAATAAAACCTTGGTTTTCACTTTATTTCATTTTAATATCTGGTTGTGTAATATAGTTGAGAAATATAAAGTATGCTTTCAAAACGCCTAAGGGAAGAGATGGATTCTCTTTTATTTCCCTAACAGTAGAAGCTTCGAAGTTGGGCGGGTTGTCAGTCTAGGGCAGTGCTGTTCAGTATAAATATGTGAGCCGCCGCAAGCCACATACGAAATTTTAAAACAAAGACAGTTAAGTAGCACATTTTATTTAACCCACTATATATAATATAGTATTAGTTCAATATGAAATCTGTACAAATTACTGAGATCTTTTTTTGTCTTAAGTCGTCGAAATAGGTTATGTGTTTTAGACCTCCAGCTCATCAAAATTCAGGCTAGCAAGATTTCGGGGCTTAAGAGCGGAATGTGGGTAGTGGCTACCTCACTGGGCAACACAGGTCTAGGCTGGAAGTCTAGATCTGGAGACCTGGAGACCAATAGCATTGGCATCACCTGGCAGTTTATTAGAAATGCACATTGTTGGCTCTTTCACCCCTCCCCATCAGATTCTACCTTTCAGCAAGAGTCCCAGGGGACTGGTACGTGCATTAAGAATCACTTCTCTCTAGTGAACCAACATGTGGGCCAAGCGACTAGCCTGCCTTCTAGCTTCTAGTTAGGTATTCCGTTTTAGGTGTTTCAAGGCTGCCTTCTAGCTTTGTGTGTCATTTTGTGGTTAGACTCATTATGCTTTTGGTTTTCTCTTTGGGAAAAGGAGGGTGAGAATTTTGCCTGACCACTTCCCTACTTTGGCATATTGCTGGAAAACAAAAACAATTGCCAAGTATTTAAACATCACTTTCATACTATGGAAGCAATGACCACAGCATTGGTTTTTAGTTCCTTCTGAGACTAGCTTTCCTTAGAGGATTGCAGTAATGAACATTCATCTCATAAAAATGTGTGGCTTTTCTGTGTTTTTTTTTTTTTTTTTTTGTTTAGTACTCTGCTAGACAGTGGGTATGGAGATCTGACCACTGAGCAATGTGCAATTTAGTGGAATATTGGCAGGTTAACAATTGAAATACAGGATAATGGAGGTGTATGTAGGCACATTTGTAGAAGAAAGTGCAACCAGCCAGGTGAAAGGTTTCAAGCAAAGGTGCTGATTCAAGCAGAATAAGCAATATATGCGAAACAGTGAAAACACTGGCAGGTTGCAGGGGTTTCTTGAATGTCATACTAAAGAGTTTAAATATAGACAATAGCAAGTTTTCAAAAATTTTCAAATAGAGGAGTGGCAAGTGATGGAGTCTTCTTGCTCTCAGCATCTTATTTTAAGGGGTAGACATCAACCCTCCTAACCTGTATAAAAAATTTGCTAAGTAATGGCAACTGTCATCATCTAATATTTGCTAAGTGTTTCATACGTACTGGCAGTGTACACACATAGTCCCCATTAATCTTTGCTGATTCCCAGGTGTAGACTGGTTAAGTAATTTGGTCAAGATCATATAGCTAATAAGTTGCAGACCTCAGATTTGGACTTAATCGACCTGACCCTAGAGCCTGAACATGTTTGAAGGATGATGAGGAATTTGAGAGAAGCCCCAACATCTCATATTTTGGCCAACAGCAATTTCTCTGACACTCACAAGCTAACCTATAAAGGGACGGAATGTACCATGCACCTCTGTCTTCCCTAGATGA